AAGTGAGGCTCGGAAGGTCCAAAGTGATCTCGCCGATCGACCAGCGAAGCAGCGTGAGTCTTTCAAGGCTGCGTTTCTAGCTGGGAGACTCCAGTCGCCCAAGCATCGCACGAGTAACCGCAGAGTGTTCGGCGAAGGCCTGGCCAGCCCTAGGCGAGCACTCGGCGGGGGAAGACAAGTCTGCCCTCAGATCACGAAGGATATAGGTGCGCAAAAACCTCCGAGATTAGAGAGCCCTGCGTCAGCAGTGGCACAAAAACCTCTACAGATGGAGAGCCCTGTATCTGGGGGGGAAAGGCCGCCATGCGTAAATACACCGTGGCGTCTGTTGCAGACCCTTCCCAGCTCGCACGCGACTATAGCAAGCCATCCCTACCGGGAGGCTCTTCTTGAAGCAGAAAGAATACATTTACAAAGTCATGCAGATTCCCAATCGTGGATCGAAGTCGCAAAAGCCTCGGCTAAAGGCCGACGAGTGCTCGGCTGCCACTGGGTCTACGTCTATAAACTTGACAAACACGGCAGATTCGTGAAGATAAAAGCGCGCCTCGTTATACGCGGCGACCAGCAAGCGATCGATGGCCGAGAGACCTACGCAGCAACTTTGGCGGGCATGTCATTCAGAACCCTCATGGCCCTAGCCAACCGATTCGACTACGATATGTTGCAATACGATGCAGTCAATGCATTTGTACATGCAAAGCTGGATGAGGATATTTATATGCAAATGCCTGCGGGATACAGGAAGCCAGGAAGGATTCTGAAGCTACAGAAAGCTCTCTATGGTCTTCGGCGATCACCACTGCTGTGGCAAAAGCACTTCGAAAAGGGCTTGCTGCAAGCAGGCTTTCGCCGAGTGCCTGGCGAGGACTGCTGTTGGCTTCATGGAGATATCATCTTCTTCTTCTACGTGGATGACTGTGTTCTCTGTTTCCCTAAGCGCATCAAGAGCAAGGCAATGTCGCTGATGGCAGAACTACAGACAACGTACAATATTGAAGGAGGCAAGCCACTTCAATGGTTCCTAGGGATCGAGGTCATCCGGGATCGCAGAGCAAGAAAGCTGTGGTTGTCACAGGCTGTTTATATCGATAAAATGCGCCGCCTGCTCCCCGAAGACTCGCCGAACCTGACGACGGTAACCCCCATGATTCGCGAAGAACTTCTGCCACATGACACAATAGCGAGCCCCAGCAGCGTCAACCTATACCTCAGGAAGGTCGGCACGATCATGTACGCGGCAGTGATGACTCGACCAGACATAGCTTTTGCTGCAAGCCGACTAGCTAGGTTCAACCAGAACCCCGGACCGCAGCAACAAAGAGCCGCCGACAGAGCCCTGCAATACCTCATACAAACAAAGGGTCTCTGCCTTGAATACGGAGCTGCGGCCGGCAGTGAAGAAGACGGACTGCAAGTTGCCTCAGATGCTAGCTTCGCCGATAACTCAACGGATCGTCGGAGTTCTCAGGCATTCGTCATGAAGCTCTTCGGCGGGATCACTTCCTGGAGAGCCAACAAACAGGATACAGTTACAACGTCAACAACAGAGGCAGAGCTCCTGGCGCTTTCCCAAGCAGCCAAGGAAGCTCTCTTTGCAAGCCGACTTATCTCTGCATTGAAGGTTGACCTGAACTCTCCGACTGCTCGCCGAGCAGCAGCAACACCAGCAAGGATCACAATCGAATGCGACAATAAGCAGACTATCCGCCTTGTCACTGCAGAACTAGTACAACTACGCACGAAGCTCAAGCATGTTGACATTCACAACCATTGGCTACGCCAAGAAATCATCGAAGAAAGAGTTAATGTCATCTACACGCCTACTACCCGAATGCTCGCCGACGGATTAACGAAGAACCTCTCAGGAGACGGCCACTCGGGCTTCCTCAAGCAACTGAAGCTGATCGACTTGACGGATAAGATTGAACAGAGAAGAACTGAGGAAAGGGCACAGGAGCTATGAAGCAAAGTGCAGCTCCGCGGCAGGACCGCGAAGCTGAAGGGGCGTGTTAGAATAGATCGTGCGCACAGTCATGCACATGATCAGGTGACCTCGGTCACTTGAGTGACCATGCCGAGCACAGCCCGAATAGGAAGGCGGTCAACTGCGCATATAATACCCCTGACTGCTGCGGGGTCAGCCTAGATGACAATATGCACAATACACATACATGTGGGCTCTCAATGACTAAGATGCTATGCATGCTGCCTAAATCCAACACAAGGCAACACTTCGATGCCGCGCCCCACACTCCCCCTACTAAGGCCGAGGTACATGGAGTGACGTAAAGCGCGTTCAGAAACAACACCGCCCAATTCCTCATACAACGCGTTCTCTGCGTCCCCATGGATTCCCAACTGCCCCCCAGCCAAGCAGTCAATGCATATGATGACAATAGCTTCATTCGCGTTAACTACAGCCGCCGCGAGCAGCCGGCTGACAATACCTGCCGGCCAATTGAAAATCCGGTCCCGGATCGCGGTTACAACTTCGAGCCGATGGACCTTCCAAACCGGGCCTTTATGATAGCAGCTTTACCCCAGCAGCCGCTGTTGCTATTCCAGGAATTCCTACCTATTTCCCTAGTAGAAAGCTGGGTCAGCTACACCAACAGCTGGGTCAGTCACCTGTTGCAGCAGCACGAAGCCGGAAGCCGCAGATTGGAGCCACAGTCGCGGCTGTTGACTTGGAAGCCGACTGTACGGAAATCGCGGTATCGGTGGAAGGAGTGTGATGTGGCTCTTTGTAGATCGGGAAATTGCTGGGACTTCTATCACCATATAAAATAGGTGGGGGCGGAGGTACCTTTCATTTGCTTTACTCTCGTTGGCTAGAACCCCCCTGCAAGCGAGCCAAGTGTTGCCTTACGACACTCTAAGGGATAGGGGTTCCATTTCTTGGCGTCCTCGCCTCCCAGCCCAACCCGCTCCCACGGGGCGCGTGGCCCTGACTACTATGGGGGCCTTCAAGTCGGCCGTCCCCGCCATTCGTTTTTGCAGGTCAACGGACCCCCCGTCCATGAGGTACGAATGGCGGGGACGGCCGACTTGAAGGCCACCCTAGTAGCGCGTCCACGGTAGATGATTAGTCCCGTCATGGGTTTCGGAGTCTGTGGTTTGTCCCATAGTTCGCTGCCGACGAGGCGCAAGGATGGCAAAGGGCGCTTATGGACCGGACGGATACTTGAGCTCGGTGTGTCTGAGCTTTTGGTGTCAAAAGGTGGCAAAAGATGTCGGGGTGGGCTCAAGCCATCGTGGGGGAGCGAGGGACCGCCGACGCGGAACCCCTTCCGGGCCCCACCGGCCGGCGAGAATGGATTTACAAAATCAACTCACAACTCATAGACTACAGCACATGTACAGTAGAGGTAATCACTTTCGTACCTTCAAAACTACAGAGAATATGTTGCCAGCGCTCGTTTTGCAGTTTGGCGTCGCGCGCAAGAGGCGCAGCCCGGGGATGCGCGCCTGCATGCTCCGGATATTGGATGTGAAAGTGCTGGCGCTAGCTACGACTTCTATACGGAGTATACGCACCTGTTTCCCAGGCTCCCTGCTCTCGATGGACCGGGCAACAGTGGCACCCACAACTGGACATTGTGGCTGAAACTTGCACCTACGCAAAGGCAGCAAAACTACAAGCCACGGACGCGGGATCCTGTTGAATGTACAACATGCATCCGCTTCGAGGGTCGCCTTTGCGGGATCACCGTCCAGCTGGGTCGTCAAGCCAAGGAGGGAATGGAGCGCGCTGTCAGCCATTGCCGCCTCTTCGCGCTCACTGCTTCTTCCAAGCGTCGGCGTTCGTCAAGTGTGATATCAAAGCAAAGGCACAACGCAGAAGTCGGCCCAAGCGTCGCACAGCGGGTTTCGTTCTTTGAGACATCGCAAGCCTGATTCGCTGAAAACATTGAGGCCTTCCACCCCTCCAGCCTGACCCCAGCAGCCCCTCGGCCGCGGCCTGCGGCCCTTTGCGTCTGCGAAAAATGCAAAAAATGCGACCGGCGTCTGCCAAGTACCCATTAAACATCGCGAATCCTGCACTACGCCAAAAGTTCAATGGGAGGATGAGGGTAATTGAACGTACCACCAGCATTCTCACGCATCACACTCCAGCGATCCGCGCCTGCTGGCCTCATGCCACGACAATGGAATCCATTGCTGCGGAGTGCCCTCGCGATTTGCATTGCTGTTCGCGTTCAGACAAATTGAGATTTTAGTAGCTGATTTGTCTACGTCAGCAGGATTATAGCTGGGTTGGTGTGCTGACGGCGCGACGCGTCTTGTGCGCGTTCGCACTCGACGCTCGTTAACGCTCATCGCACCATGCTGCGTGCGACGCTTCATACAATACTGTCCTCGAAACGCGCCAGTTGGCAATGTGATCGACAACAGTATGGCGTCCAATACCTGTGGATTTGGACCGTCTCATGGTGATAATATCGAGCCACGTTGACCACACCTTTAGCAGTCGCCTTGCATAGTAATTCGCCTTCTTCATCGCGTTCTGGGTATTGCCATGAATCCTTGATGATAAGTGGTATGCCCGGACGCTCTGCAGCAATGACCTCCTGCATGCTCTCAATGGCTTCCTTTCTTTGGCCCACAAATAGTCGAATTCGGGGAGTTGACGCCGCCACAAGTCCTTGTAACATTCCTAGGGGCTCAACATTGGGGGCACAACAAATGCGCCCAACAATCCACGCCCGCTACTGTGGCCGATCTTTCCAGGCACCTCGCTCCCAATCTGGACCTCGTTTGCCAGCGCATGCGAACTCTTGCACGACCATCACGGCAACATCACTCTTAACTGACCATCTCGAACCATTCTCACATTGGTGGTAGCTCTATCTAGCTGCTTGTGTTTAGATGGGTCCGACCTGACCTCATCGCTTTATGCGCGGCACGCCTCACCATCGCAACACTCGTAGGAAATTGTCGCCCCATTCGCTCATCGACTCCCTGAGCTCCTGGCAACAGCCAACAAGGTGGGCGACAATACACCCGACCGAGACACCTTCGAGCCAATGTCAAATTCGAGCTCACTCGAGACCTTGTGAGAACCTGGTTTTCTGGAAACCTCATCCATCGCCACTGTCTGAATGGGATCAAGCGGCTACGACGCTTAGCGCTACAAAAACAAAGGAACTATGGCGATGCCCCCAAATTTGTTGGACCTGCGGCCCAATTCACAGAACTCGACCGGCTCGACTTCGCCACGGCCCTTGCGGTCGCCCCGCCTGCATGTCACCGGAGAGGTACCCCCTGAATTCTCCCCGCTGGACGCATTTGTCCTGCAGAGCCGCATCCTCGCGAAACAGTTGCAAGAGAGCACCAAGGAGGGCAACAGATTCAGCAGGCTACCGCCATTGACGGTGGAGAGTCCCCTGATCGTCCAGGGCCGGTCAAATTACTTCCGTTCCATGTCTCAAGACTCGGGGTCAGAACCATGTGATTCACTCGAACGGAATCCCGCCGGCCTGGGTCTGAGAACTGAGGTCGAACATGCTTTTTCAGAAGAACGGCCCAAATCGATGGTCTCGCGTACGAGTCGAATCCCTCCTACCCCCGATGGACCAGCCCCTGCTATGCCACAGATAGATGGACCAGCCCCTGCTATGCCACAGATAGCGCGAGACTTGTCTCGAGAATCACAGCTCAATCAGATCGAGGAGGACCGCGATTCTTTCGGCGCACGAAGATGTCTGTGGCTCTTCTGGCGCAGGCAATGGCCAGGGCCGAACCTACTTCGCCAACGACGTTTACATCCGCTGATGGCTCCACTGCCAGTAGCATGTCCTGACTGAAGCACCGGCAAAGCGCTGCGGCATGAGGGAATGCAGGTGCATGTGGAAGAAAGGGAGGGCAGAGTTATTTAAATTGTCTCACTTAAGCAGATCCCCTCCGCCTTTTTCCCCTTAGCGATGATTAGCGTAGCAGCAGCATTTTGGCTGTGTTGGCAGATGTGCCGAAAAACAATGGCATAATGTTTGAGTAAGAGACAGGTCAAGAAGGACAAGCCTAACTGACGTTGACGTCAATACTTGCCAGGTAAGTCTCCCAAAGAGCCTCTCCTTCTGCCGGAACCTGAGAGAGTCTGGGGCATTACGCTTTGCGGCCAGTCAGGCACAAGGTCGTCTCGAGCAAGTCTTGGGTGCCCCTGAGTCCCTGAGCCGCGTCTTGTTCGGGCTGGTCTAGTGCGGGGACAACCGTTTGATCCGCCCCTCGTGCCGAGATCCAACCGTGTTGTGTCCCGCCCCAGCGGCCGGCCAATCGACGGCCGCGGGGATGATGAGCGGCGCTGCCACTATCACCGCCCCGTGGTGCTAGCGTGTTGTCACTCCAGCACGGCTCCTCCAACGGATGACACTGCAACGAAGCACGATGTCCTTCTTTTGCTCTCCTCCCATCTCTCAATCCCCCGAACGGAAAAAGTCTCCGAATGCCGACATAGTGGGTAGTGTTCGAGCGGGGTGGAAACGGGGAGAAAGCAAGCCCCCCTGCTGCTAGGGATGCTGTCGCCGGGTTCCTTAAGACAGGGCGGCCGAGATGAGACGCTACGGTGCGTTGCCGGTGCCGTGAGGTGAGGACGGCCCTGGCTAGCCAATGTCACTCTCTGGGATGCCGGAGAAAATGTGTCTTGTCGGGCCCAGTGTCAGATCTTGGGGACTTGTGTACCCTTTGCTTCTTCGACGTCCAATTGGCATTCGGTGCTTTACTACCTGCCAGGTCCGGGCCTTGTGGTTCAAGAACTCGAGGTAACTACTTGCTGCACTTTGGGTCCATCTGAGTCGGTTCATTCGCTGTTGAGAGCTGGTGGGTTGTCGTGCTGCGAGGGCCCGTCGGCGCGCTGCCGCTTTCGATTTTGCGGTCTCGCCATGAGTGACCCATCGTCGAGAGCCGAGATCGAGAGGGGAAGTTGGGGGGGATATTCATGTCGCTGCGAAACGTTGATCGATTGGGGAGGCATGTTTGATGCACGCATGACGGGTCGGCGACTCATTTCTCCGGGATGCTAGCAGCCAACCATTAAGTCGCTCACTCGGAACACCTGATCGCCGACCAACGATATTCAGCCGGATAACTTGACTGCTGTGCAAGCAGCTAATCGTTGGGTGATGTTCACGCCTGGAAGCACTGAGTCACCTGAATCGCCTGCTCAGCGTGTTCCGTCCCAATCAACTACCCCAGTGTGGGCGGACGACTTGGGTGAGGGCACTCAAGCCCCTAGAACGGCGGCGCGTTGGCCTGTACGCCTCACAAACAGCCTCGCCTTGAGTGGCTGCGTGTGGGACATAACGCGAGGCACCCCACATCACCATGCCGGGCCAAGGGTCCGGCTTTGTGTAAGTAGGAAGCTGTTTTTCAGCTTCCTGAGACCTCCGACAGCCCGAGCCATCTCATGCCGTCACGTTGCTGAGGCTGAGCCCTCTGATCGTAACGCCCTCACATAGTCGGCTAACGGCTGTCGCGCTATAGCACTATCAAGCGATCGGCAAGCCCCCGATCGTGGAGAACAGAACGCCGCAGGCAATCTCGGAGGCAAACAGAAAACGTCCGCTCAGCGGCTAAGTGATAAGGACGTTTGTCGGTCGGCGGCGAATTGATATAAGAACCTTAAGATCATCACTGCACATCTTGACCGGTTGAGCACACGACACACCTCAATAGAAGTTTTTAAGACATGGAGACTGCTGCAACGTAAGCAACATCTGCTCGTCTTGGCCAACTCGCCGTGGCTTAAATTAGGGGTCTCGACGCGGCTATCTCAATGTGGCTATCATAGTGTGGCTATCTCAGGGGTCATGCTCTCAAGGCTGTTGATTGGTTCGCGTGACCTGCCCAATCCATCGAGCGTCCATTAAACAATGCCCAAGAAAACTGGTGAGCTGCTGTGTGGCGGCACGATATGGACGCGCACTCTTGCTGTTGCGCTGAGTAGTGTAAAACCCAATGCCTAATGCGAACTTCCCACTAGACATCCTGCCTTAGAGCTTGTTACTTTTTGGTGGAAAACCTAGCTCTTTAAGAATATTCTCCATCCTCTTCTTCGACTCATCGACTGATAGAGACTTCCGGAAGCCAGGTGGGGCTCGTTGGTGCGGAGGATCCTCCCTGAACCAGCGGACGGAAAAACTATGATCGATCGGTACGGAAATGGTTCGTCCGGAACTAGAAGGATGAAGGCAAGGGTCAGCAGGATGCGAGATATCGATATGACAGACGGGAGGAACTTTGAAAGGAGGCGTAAAAGGACTAAAAGGGGTTCTGTTCACTTAAACTGCGGTTTTTGGCCTGATGATGGAGACATAGTAAAGGTTGAGATACCCCAAATCTGCTCTTATTAATGGATAGGGCTGGGCTGGAGCGAGGAGGTATGACTATGAAAAAGGTGATGGGCATATTTGGGAGACCAAGGGATTACAGGAGGAGCACGACCCAACTTATACCTACAGTTTCGGTCACGGACACGAAGACGGGGACGTTTTTTGAGTGTTGAAGGTTATGTTTGGCTTCCGCGGTGAGGATTCTAAGGCTGAGCGAGCTCAATGTGCAGACCGTCTTAGACCTACCGAGTTGGGATCTGCTGAAGGATGCTGCTGAAACCACTTGCTTACCCAAATTCAGGCACCGCTCGGTCGTAGCTAGTCAGTAGCTGCATCGGACACTCACACCAACTGCGGTCCACGCGGACGGTGTGCGGGCAATGTGTGCTCTGTACCTTTCACATTTGCTGACTTGTCTAGCCGTCCAAATTCACTTTCACTTTAGAAGAACCTCTGAATTGGGATCCTGTAGTGAGCCCTAAGTCAGGCTGCTGCATGATTTCTGAGTGGGATACCCCTGCGCGGCTGGCTCTTGCGTATAATTGGTTGGGCCTTCGCTTGACAGCATCTTTACAGGCGGTTCCAGGTACAGCGATGACGTGCTGTATGCTACGTACTTGGTCTGCGCTTAACCAGGCGGCGCAGGCGCCCAATGTTATTTACACGCCCGGGCGCCCATGTATCAGCCGCCCGCCCCTTAGGGTTGGGTTCTTTGGTGTCCATCGCCATACTCGCTCCCAGACACGCACCCTTGCCCAGCGGTCCTGCTCGCAAGCATGGGCATGTTGGTGGTGTCGATCGGAATAAAGTCGATTCACCTTCAACAAGACGACGTGGCTCCCCGGCAGCAGCAGGGATTGGTCCAAAGGAGCAGCCGCAGGGCGGTGTACCGCGACGTCCTCGCTCTGGCCCAAAGCGGCTTGCCTCGCCATCTCTCGGATAGGACCACGTCCTCGCTCTGGCCCAAAGTGGCTTGCCTCGCCATCTCTCGGATAGGACCATATAAGCGAGTCAGTGGTGGGCCACAGACATCCGAGAGGATATTTAGGTTAGGCCCACCCGGAGAGCTTGGTCATCTTCTACTGATACGCAGTCCTTCTCTGGTTCGGCTGATTGGTAGCCAGGACGAGTCCAGGGCCCAGCGACCCGCCACTCGCCCACTAATCCGGGACAGGTCTTGACGATCGTCCTACACGTGTCACACACTCCAGCCGCCCACGGAGTAGTAGCGCTAGGAGACCGCTGACCGTGGACATCGACGGGAGCGAGCGCCTCCATGGAAGAGATTCTTATGCTCATTTTCATATCAGCCGTTGCCTCTCTCCCAAAATAGCGATGTACTGTGTCGGGCCAATCACTGCGAAATGCACAAAAGAGCTTCTGCCTCCTCGGCGGAAGTCTGCGTCGACAACTCAGCCACGCCACAGCCTCGTTGGGCACTCACCTTAGTACTGTTGCTAGATCCCCTCCCTCATCATCTCGGGCTGTTGAAGCGCAAGCTTGACTACCTCGAAAACTACTTCCCTGACTATCAGTACGTTTTCGCGTACCATGGCCGAGGCGGTGGGACTCGCCGCAAGCGTCATCGCAATCATCGACCTGTCCGCCAAAGTCGCCGTCCTCTGCCTCGATTACTCCACCGCCGTCGGCAATGCTAGGGCCGACATCACACGCCTCCGATGCCGGTTATACGACCTAGGCACAACCCTCCAAGGAGTTCGGCATCTTCTTGTTGACCCGAGTAGTCAAGCGCTCGCCACGTCGCGAAGACTGGTCGACTCTGTTGATGCCTGCACATCAGAGCTGGCCCAGTTGCAGAGCAGGCTGGATCCGGGTAATGCCCGTCAGGCGATGCGTCGTTTCGGACTTCGTGCCCTCAAGTGGCCGTTCGATAGAAAAGAAGTTAGCGCGATCGTCTCTAACCTAGAACGCTATGAACAGACTATCATGCTATGTCTGCAAATCGACCAGACGTGAGTCAGTGCATCGACCAGAGGTTTTGGGCACGATGGAGCGGGCTGACGCCATCATTTTTCGCAGTACAATCTTGCTCGACATACGGGAGAGGCTTGAAGGCGTCTCGCTCCAACCCGAAGGAGACACATCGATTGCTCGCAAACCCTGCTTCGGCGTGCCTTTCGACCGAGACCCCGACTTCGTCGATCGACCGAATGTTATGGCGTGGATAAAGGAACAATACACACGCTGCGTCGGTCGCATGGCCCTCGTAGGCATGGGCGGGTTTGGGTTCGTGCTACTGTGCTCCATGAGCTTCTTTGGAGGGTCGGCATTCCCCTGACAGACCAAAGGAAATCGCAGGTTGCCATTCAATTCGCGCGCCACATCCACGACACATCACCGCAGACCAGCGTTTTCTGGGTGCATGCGAGTTCGAAGCCGAGATTTGAAGAGGCGTACCGGTCTATTGCAGAAAGGCTACAGCTACCTAGACGAAATGATCCCGACGTCGATGTGCTCAGGCTCGTCCGTGACCGGCTGCAGACAGAGGAACTTTGATACGCATCTCTTCGCGCCTTTGCGTAGCTTCCAGTGCCTCATGCCAGTTGCAGACTTTTCCTCGCATATGGACTTCACAGTGCTCGTCTCGGCAGTTGTAAAACTGTAGTGGGTGCCTGAGGCATTCTTCCTGGACATTCGGTACTAGCATCACGTATCCCCAGTGACGACCGGTCCTTTGTGGTGACCAGTGCCGAAGCTCGTCCGCAAGAAAGGGGTCTTTGTTAGGGCCCTTTGGTTGATCTATTGGAAAGACGCTGTGCTTTGCCTTATCAACCAAATGTATTGGACAAGAATGAATGATGCACGACACCCATGAGATCTCGTGGTGTCGCTCATGTGTGGTGCGAATTCGTGCGTCGTCCCCGAACTTTTTTTTCCTCGCTGACGATGTTGGTCAAGGCATCTTCTGTCGGGACGGCCAAAATAACAATTGCTCGAGCCTCGCTATTTGGAATAGGTGTCATTGTGGCTAGACTTGGCGCCCTAACCAGAGGGCCGTCAGATTTTTTTTGGTTGCAGCAGCATGAAGATTGAAATGTGCTTCTATCTCCCTGTGAATAAATCGCTTGTCAATCAATGAATTTGAAGATCAATAGGTCAGGCGGATGAATTCATTTTACTGCCTTATAAAAAGGGGGTGGAAATTTCAATAAAGTTTACTCTTACAAAGCCCCCACAGTTTTCCCCCCTGATCTTGAGAGCTCACTACTCGCGGGGAAAAAAAAAACTTTCCAGCTCAGGTCACTCCAAGGCCAATGGACAACCAAAAATTGCTCGAGGGTGTCGGCGTGTACAAATCGGGGCAGAAAACTGGCAGTTCCGGTAGGAGACCGGGCGTTGTGAGGAAACAGTGATAAAACTGCGCCGACACCATGCGCGACCAGGGGCGAAAGAAAGTCACTGACCTTGAGAAAATGCCCTTTCATCCACCCTTTCACACCGTTAGCTGACTACGTAGTAGTCCTGTACACCCAGCGAATGCGATTATCCACATCCTTGCTCATGTTTCAATCCAACTTAGAACTTAATGTTTTCCTCCATTGACACAAGGCAGTTTTGTTAAGACTTTTGGTTCCGCTGGCCGGATCAATAAGGAATGTCCCATCATAGGTCCCACTTATCCATCCTCAGATAGATTGAAGCTGTGGCGCCTGGAAAACTTGCGTTCAGTTCCGAGTACTGTAGAAGGAGTGACTTCCTATCATTTGCCGGGATAAATATCAACGCAGAAAGAAGGGACTGAAACCATCTCCGCAGCATTTCGAGACTTATTTGGTAACACCAAGGCAGGCGAAGCAGTGCTTGAAGGCCTGAGCCTCAATGGCAAGAAGGCCGCCGTGGTCGAGCAGGGCAGCTGGGTGCCACAAGTTGGGGTCGACACGCTCGAGGAGTCCAGGGTAGCTGGTCAATCCAATGGGCTCCGTAACACCCCATGGGTTGCGCAGCACAATGTACTGGTTGTCGCCAAGGACGGTGTAACCGAGAATGGAGTAGGCATGGTTGGCAACAATGTTGCTGCCACGGAAGTTGCCGCCGGTGGCGTAGGTCCAGGCCGTCATCGGGTTGATGGTCTTGAAGTTCATGCAGTTGGCTCGCACCAGGCCCAACATGTCGTTGGCAGCGTGGTTCTCGGTCACGTAGTAGTGAGGCTCTCGGCCGTTGATCTGGGCCATGGCCTTAACAGGATCACCAGAGTACAGCTGGGTGATGTCCGGGTGCTCCGATGAGCTGCCAGTAACCCACTTGGCAAAGGCCTTCTCGTACAGCGATGGCCAGATGTCAGCACAGTCGCTGGCGCTGCAGTACATCGGCATGTTGTTGGAGTTGTTGATGGGGATCTCGTAGTCGACCTCAACAGTTTCGGTGCGGGCATTGTTGTCACCGCCCTTGTCGTGGAACTTGATGGAGAGGCGCTTCTTCTCCTCCTTGGTCTGGTGGACGCGGGTAGCGCGGTTGATAACCAATGGGTCGGACCAGAAGACTGAGAACAGAGCGGCAATCAGCCAGCTGTTTCCAAGGCAGCCCTGTGTCGGGTCATCGAAGCTGTGCAGCGTCTTCTTCCTTTCACCAATCTCGAACATGGTGAGGTTGCCGATAAGGCGCTCGTTGACCCGCTGGAAGAAGTAGTCATACATGTCGCGCCACGAGCCGTTTGGCGGCGACCACTGGCCCTTCTGCATCCTGAAGGGGGTGACAAGCTCGTTGACACACATGGAAACCTCGCGGTTGGAGAGCTTTCGGCCAAGGGACGGGGCCTGAAGAACCATATGTAACTTGCCATTCTGCATGCGAGCAGCTTTGACGGGTGTCTTCTCGAGGTCCTTGAGTCCGACCTTCTCAAGATCTTCGACCTTGCGTATCTCTGAGAGATCAGGAGTCATGATGTCCCGTTCATTAAGGATCTTCATTTCCTTCTCGGACAGCTTCACGGCCTTTCTCTCCTTCTCGTTGAGCTTCAGGCCAGCGAACAGGACAGAGCCGTGCTTCATGTCAAAGAGCTCGTCATAGTCTGTCTGCAAGACATTGGAGAGAATCCTCTCCGAGCCCATGTTCTGCCTGTCAATGTTGCGGCCGATGAGAGCCTCGACAAGGGCGTAGGGGTTGATGGCGCCGACTTGAATATCCTTGGGTGGCGAGTCGGGGCGCAAGTTCCCTGCTCCTCCCCCGGAGGACATCTCCGAGTCAAGTTTCATGTCGAAGTCATCGTAGCCCATGTTGAGGCTGTCCGAGGCTGGTTTTTCGATTCTCTGGCCGAGGAGGGCTTCAACAAGCGCGTATGGGTCGATGTTGAGCACTTTGGTGTCCCTGGATTCGGAAGAGGGGCTTCGGATGTCACCCATGTTGAACAGTTTTGGAAGAGTTCCGAAAAGTTGCTAGAGCGATGAATTGAGCTTGAAAAGTTTGTAGGATTGTAGGTGGATGATGGATTGAGTTCTGGTGTAGAAAGCAGAGTGAGAAGGGATTCAGGCCGGTTATATATACTGCTTTGGCGACTCGTATTACCCATTTGTTTTTATATTGAACGTCGTGAATGCGGAGAACGTCGGCATGAACGCAACCTCGCATGGCTCCAATATTCTCACATGATGGTCGGCAGTTGTATTCCGTGGCTGGGAACCTGCACTGGAATTGAGGTCGAGCCTCTTCGGTGACAGAAAATCATGCTCGGTTTTGTTAGGGAGTGAATCGGGCCAAGGACTTATCATTGTACTACACCAACAATGGCATGGCTGAGACATGTTGCAACATCTGACAGAACGACCCTTCCGGGTGTTGTCGCGGACCTTGCACTTGACGAAGTTCTAATGACCAATACCACCGTTCAATACTCGATGTATCTAGTCCAAGGAGTACATAGATGATACCCTGAACTCTTAGGGCAGACATGTGGATGAAACTCAGGCAGGAGGAGTCTAACTATCTCCGTGATCCGTTGCAACTGTTGCCACCCCGAGTGTTGCCCGCAATGCATCTACCTCGGCCTCCCTCGCAAAATGATGACCACATAAGGCGTAATTTTCCCCGGCAGATACGAAGACATGTGCAGTTTATCAATATCAGTTCGTCATCTGTGTGAAAATGCTGCAGCATGTCGTTGGGAAACTGTAACCTCGGATGAAGTTGGAATCACCGGCCGGGAATGCTGCAGGGATATCGAGAGGCCTATTAGGAGTGGAGAGTCAATTGTGTAACATGAGGAGGGTGAGTGGAGATGTATCAAGAAAAAAGGACAACGAAACCTGTGTAGGATACGCGTGGGTCGATTCTGATCTCGAACCACGTAGCTGTTGTTAAACTTGGGCTTACGTCTCTCACCAAGGCTACATTGGCCAATGAAGACGAAGAACATATCCTGTCAGCGCTCGGCTGTGGATGTAGATCCTATTGGGCATTGGCTGCGGCTGAGGGTAACAACGGGAGGCGGGGAAGCTGAACTCTAAGGAGGCTCTCAGCGTGATGTTGATGACCGATCTTTGCGGGGTAAATACGACCCAAGGGAAGCAATGCAGCGTAGCATCAGAGCCTAGATAGTCAAAGTCTGCCGATCACAGGTGCTCCAAGCCCTGAGTTAGCGCTTGTGTGGAGGATCATATCCCCTTGGGGTGCCTATTTACATGGCACTAGTGCCCGCTTCTCCCAACTTGCAAGCTACATGAGCCGGGGACGCCGGATGGCAGGGTTGCTGTGACATGCTCGGAGGCTTCAAACGGACATTGGCGTCAGGTATTTTCAACCACGTCAGGTCATGATGAAAAACGTCGTCACAATATCATAACGAGGCGTCCTTTCATTGAAACGTCGATGTGCAGCTGCAGACCTTGCTTTCTTGCTCTCAAATTGACTTTTCCCCCACGCGGGATATTGCACAGTGAGCTGCCTGGGGTTGTATTTCAGTCTCAATCGCATGGCAAATATCGCCCAATATACGGAGTTAACCGGCAGATGTATGTCGCTAAGCTGTGTGGGTTTCTAGGGCAACTCACAATGAGCCCTAGAATCGCAGCGTGAAGTTTGTAGCAGAAGAATTCGGCAATCCTGGCAGGCAATCCCTTTCTAGAGCGAGGTGTATAATCTCAATGGCTAGTCCTCAGCCCACCATCGCTTGACGCGCCGTTCCCTCGCCCTGAAAATGCTGCGGAAGCCTCCTGACAGCCAAGGGATAAGCTCTCACCTTTAATCACACTCCACCAACACCCCGTCCCGACCGGCAGCCAGACAAACCTAATAAACCGACGAAAAAGGTTCCCAGGCCGAAACCTGACGCCGTGGACACGTTGTACGTGGTTCCGGAAATGGTCCAGTTCCTCCAGCTCCAGCCCCTGCTCCTTGCATTTCAGGTGCTCACAACTGATCTGGCTGTTGCGCGCCTTCTCACCCATCGCCCCAAGATGCTTGCGGTCGAAGTGGTCATTCATCACGGCGGGCCTGCAGTATGGGAACGTCCTCTCCCCAAACGACATGTCCCTCAATGCAGCCTTTCTTTTGGTGATTAAACTAAGCTCGTATTCTGATGGGGATCACCCCTCGTCCTGACGCCTCGCGCACCCTGAGAACGGAACTCAACTAACCTCTCTGGACCACCCGGATCGGTCACCACCTCTTTGAATCAGCACAAGGTACCCGAGCGCAGCGGCTTCAGTGGGCAGCCCCACTACAGAACAGCACCCAACAGCAGCCGGCAGCACCAAGTAGCAGCGCATCCGCTGCCGCTACGGGGGCGCACGTAGAAGCAGACACAGCGCAGACGCAGCGCAGACGCAGAGCCACCTCCCACCCTCCTGCCCTCCAACCGAAAGCCCGCCTTGCCCAAGCGTGGGGGGGATCTTTCCTTCCAGCGTCTGGGTCAGCCTCTCACTCACCACTCTCCCTCTCTCTCGCTCCCTCCACATCATGCCCTCAACCACCATAGCGACTCCCATCACCATCTCGACTCCCCTAGACGCCATGAACCCAACAATAACAGAGCACGATTTCCGCTTCCCGCGAAGGCCCGACGCATGGCTGGCCGGCAGCACCAACGGCCACATGCATTCGGTCCAGCGCACCGCCCACGTCGGCGCACCCAGTGCCCGCGATATCTTCAATGACCTCAATGCCAACAACTCCAAAACCTACTCGGCCGCCAACAACACCCTACTCGGCTCCCCTCCTTTTCCTTCTCTCCATGAAGACATCGCCCATGCTGACCAGAGCATCGACAAATGACATGGCCACCTCCAGGCTCTGGCCTGGATAGGTGAAAAAATGCGAATTTTAGACTGCCGAGAAAACCTTAAGCTAGCACGCTTCTCTCTCTCTCTTTCTATTTTACTTTCAACCCATCAGCTACGCGTCGATACGACGTCATGTCAACAAACTCACACTCGAGCAGAGGCCGCTGCCGTCTCAATTTTTTCTTTGATGTCGCCGGCCTAGCCTGAGTTGCACTGGAGCCATCTGGACTTCTGGAAGGGACTTCTAACGAGCAACGTTTACCTCGACCGATCCATTGGAGGCTTTGGAGCCATCGGAGCCGGAGAGGCCAAGGAAGCCAGGGAAGCCTGCGCCCGCAAGACTCATGACCCACTTGGTTTGGTCATTGAGTTTCGTCACTCCATTCCCCAAGAATCCTCGCCATCCGTGATCCGAACGCCTTGAATGCTTCTCGTCGTCTCCCTTCATCGCTCTCATGCGATATTAAGATCCATCCGACTGCATCCGCCCTCGAGGAGCTCTGTGGCCTGTGGGTTAGGTGTATAGCCATGTCTTCGCCGCTGGGCTTTATTCCGTGGAGGAGGAGGGCATTGAGCTCGTCCTCACGGCGCGACCTGTCGCAGTCGCAAGCCGGGGATGCTGTTTCTAGCTCCAGTACCTCCCACGGATCCCAGCATCCAATTGCTTCAGCACGGCCATCCTCCATCAGCTCCGCCCCTGGCCACCGGGAGCCGATCCGGTCCTTCATCCACGGCTCCGTACGAGAGAGCTTGTGTATGTGCATCCATGATCCATCACCTTCGCCCTGGGCTTCCCCACGTCCATGTATAGGCCCGTGCTTCCTGAGCTCTGCTAACACTGGGACAGTGCCTGTCGACAGGGTACAGAATGCGCGAAGTGTGGGGGAAGACACGGCGGAGCTTGCGAGCTACCTGCTCTCAGACGGACAGGCCCAGTCGAGTCCTGCATTCCTGCAACGGGCGAGATCTTCTTACCATGAAGGTGTGGGGTCCGATGCTAGCGATGATACGTCCACTGGCGAGCATGCGCGCAACTCGGCGACGATTGTTGAGGTTTCTGAGCCCCCATCGCCAGAAGCCCAGGAGCACGAAACCGAAGCGCCCGCTGGCCGCTCGGTGCTAGCGAATCTACTCAAGAGGTCACCTCCCCAGTCGATTGCCCAAGATCACCTCCACAGCCCCGATAATGGCGAAGTCAGTGACAACGACCAGACCCTCGTTGGGCAACAGCGGGACAGCCACCACACGAACGAGGCCTCGGAGCAGATGCCATTGTTATCTACGGTGGCTTCGGGCGGCAGGCGATGCTATACAGGGGACCTCGAGGGACAACAAAAGTCTCAAACAAAGCGTCCATGGATAAGTGGTTTGGTGGAAGCCGGCCACAAGATGGAAGAGCGGATGGCCCATGGCGTTGCAGTGGCCGTCAACCCTCGTCGCTGGGATCGCAAGGCATTGTGGCACGGCGCTGTGGTCGCGCCCGTCTCTTGCCTGCCTGTCGTGGCAGTGGGCCTCCTGCTCAACATCCTGGATGCTTTATGCTACGGTATGTCTGTCTGTTCCTAGAGGCTCTCATCCATCGCCGACGGCTGTAGGCATGATCATTTTTCCTCTGGGGAAGCCCATCTTTGCTCATCTCGGTTCCGCCGGAATCTCGGTCTTCTATGTCAGCACCATTGTGTCCCAGATCACCTTCTCATCGGGGAGCATCTTCAAAGGCTCAGTGGGTTCTGAGCTGGTCAGTATCCTCCGCCCTGGATTCAGCACCCCCGTCGATTAACATGGCACAGATCGAAGTCGTTCCTTTCTTCCACAACATGGCAGCGACGATCACCGACACTGTTGGCGCAGACAAACCCGATGCAGTGATTGCCACCACTATTGTGTCATATTCCGTCAGCTCTATGATAACCGGCCTCGTCTTCTTTCTCATGGGACGGTTCAAGGTTAGATACATGGTGGGGTTCATCCCCAGGCACATCTTGATTGGCTGCATCGGCGGTGTTGGATGGTTCTTGATCGCCACTGGATTCGAGGTTTCGGCTCGTCTCGATGGTAGTCTTCAGTATGACCTCGACACGCTGAAGAAGCTGGCAGACTCGGCGACCGTCATGCTCTGGGTCACCCCCCTTGTGTTGGCTATTGTCCTCTTCTATGGCCAGTCCAAGATCACATCCAAGTTCTTCTTGCCTCTGTACGTTCTGGCGATTCCACTGACCCTCTACTTCTTTGTACTCGCAATCGACGTCTTGGATGTGGACGTGTTGCGCGACCATGGATGGATCTTTCAAGGCCCACCCTCTGGTGAGCCGTGGTGGTACTTCTACACGCTCTACAGTAAGTCTCTCGGGCTCATGAGAATCACCTTTCTTTTAATGACGCTGCTGACAACTGCATCAGAGTTCAAACTTGTGCGTTGGGATGCTGTTATTGAGACCATTCCCGCAATGCTAGCTTTGACCTTCTTCGGTATTCTCCACATTCCGATCAACGTCCCTGCCTTGGTTCTCAATTGCGGCGAGGACCATGCCGATCTCGATAAAGAGCTGAGGCTTCACGGCTATTCCAACTTCCTGTCTGGTTGCTTCGGCAGCATTCAGAATTATCTGGTCTACGCCAACACCGTCTTCTTCATGCGATCAGGCGGGAATTCTCGGCTTGCGGGCTACATGCTAGCAGCAGCAACCTTCGGAGTTATGGTCGTGGGTCCATCACTTATTGGGTTCATTCCTGTAATGATGGTGGGCACCCTGATCTTCGATCTCGGCTTTGAGCTGCTGCTGGAGGCGCTGTGGCTCCCTCGCAAAAAGCTGAAGCTGGCCGAGTATCTTACTGTCGTCGTGGTTGTCCTTGTCATGGGCATTCATGACTTCGTGGTGGGCATCGGGGTCGGTATTCTACTGGCCTTTGTGTCGCTAATCCTGCAGACGTCCCGGGTGTCGGCAATTCGTGCAAGCTATTCCGGCGACATTGTCACATCCACAGTGAGGCGCAATCCCTCGCAGCATCATTATCTGCATGAAGTCGGCCGGCAGATTTATATCGTGAAACTTACAGGGTACCTCTTCTTTGGCACCATTGTGAGTGTGGAGGAGAAGATTCGAGACCTCTTGGAGGATGACGCCTTTTTCAAGCAGCCCATCAAGTTTCTGATTTTGGATTTGTGGCACGTCACTGGGCTCGATTACTCTGCCGGCGAGGCTTTCAATACCGTCAGCCGGTTGCTCGATAATAAGTACGTTGTTCTCGTCCTAAGCGGCGTGGACGCCGAAAGCCAGCTTGGGCGAAATCTGAGAGCTGTTGGGCTAGGGAGCGATGGGATCGAGGTGTTGATGCTCCCCAATCTCAACTCTGCATTGGAAAGCTGCGAAAACGAGCTCCTCAAGACTCTCTATGCTAGGCAGGAGGAATTGAATTCCCTGAAGCGGCTTTCCGTCCAAAATCTGGATGTCCCTGCGGCGAAGTCCTCGGCTCTGTCGTCCTTCGACCCGCCGTTCTTCTCGCCTCGTCGGAACTATCTCGTCGAGGCGGCTCATGACGCTCTCAGCAGTATCGATATCCAGCACCCAACCAAGTGGCAAAGCTTCAAGGAGCCTCTCAGGCTCATGCTGCAGATCTTCCAGGGCCTGAGCGACAAGAACGAGGGCTTTTGGTTCCCGGCGACCACATACTTTACCCGCCGGGAGTACCCTGCCGGCACTGTCATCTCCCGGCGCGGAGAGCAAGCCAATGGGTTTTACCTTGTGGAACGAGGCATCGTCCGCGCCGAGTACGACCTTCCCCAGGGATGGCTGTGTGAGAGCATCCTAGCGGGAACGACATGTGGCGAACTGCCTTTCTTCTCGGACACAGATCGGACAGCAACAGCTGTCGTGGGAAGAGATTGTGTGGTCTGGCTTATGGATCGGGAACATTTGGCCAGGATTCAGGCGAAGGATCCTGAAGTCGCGCGGGAGCTATTGAGGATATCCTTGAAGCTCACCAGCGAGCGAATGAGCGCTATTACGTCGTACATCTTGACTACGGCGGGGTAGGACCTTTGCCATTTCATAGTATGTCGAAACAAAATGAATCAAACAAAAGGACTTTCGGAAGATACAGGAGTCTCTGTTGAAATGAGCATGTTGTATTAATTGAAGAAGAAAACTAGCGCTAACCAGCGGAAGCTATTGACAAGAAGACATCCACATCCCAGCCACCAATGGATCGGAATAGCCATTGATCCGTCAAACAACGGATCTCAACAGGCAGACCTAGACAGACATCACATTATCACTATCAGTCAATTCAAGGTGCCCTACAAGGCCTTATTTGCGCTCAATCCAGCTGTTTCCCTCAATCTTATGAACTTTCAACTTGGCCTGTGAATTATCTATGTGTCCGACAAAATCCCTCCCGCAACTACATTTCCTTCCCCTTTACATCACCCTGTCCTACGTGTCAACATCACTCCTCAATGACACCCCCAATATCATTATTTTCATCAACGTTTTATGATGAATAGCGAAACCGAGTCTCTCTTCATCGATGACGATAATTTCACGCCGATTGACGATTTTTCCAACGCCATCACGGGCTTCAACGCCGTCACAGACGCAGGCTTCAACGCCGTTATCAACTCGATCACGAACAGCTACAAATACAAGGGGAAGGGGAACATGAGGCAGATGCGGAAGGGGGGGCCGGGCTAGCTGGCCCTCAGCAACACCAACACCATCCGGCGATAACTTCCTTCCGGCTACTCAATCGTCCCTACGAGATGAGATTGTGGTCAGGTCGCTGGACCTAGGCTAGTAGATTTTTGTGTGATTCTTGGTCACCTCTAGTTGTCATAGAATTTTTGGTGGGTAAAGGGGAAGGTAAGGAAATCAGAAAGAAATTACCGGATTTCACGTGATAAAGTTATATAACTAGCAAAAAGGGGTTCTTGAAATAGCACGACTCAACTTAATTAATCTTGGCCAGCCTTGATTCAGATAAATAATCCCAACCAAGGATTCAGATTCATTGAATCGCTAATTAATCGCCCTGATTAATTACATCACTGAGTGGGATCGGCGTTAAGACGTGAAGATCGGAGATATCCGTTGGTCGGAACAACCAACTGCAATCCAATTGAGAGCAGCCTCCTCCAACTTCAATCCAACTGAAATATACTTGGCCGGATGTCAATCCAACTGCGAGGAGGTACCAGTTGAGTTGAATTGGTTGATTACGCACTCTGGACGTTGATGACGACCTGGCTGAAGACGATGACAACACAACACCAGAGGAAGTCTCTACGCTTCCTATTCAAGAGAGATCACAGGTGCCATTTGACCAGAGTGTGGCTCTGCAGGAATTCTCACAATGGTCAGAAACTGATGCACCAAGCGAGTCACTTCGCCCTGAGGTGGAAGAAATACTGTATCGAATTGCACAGGAAATGGAGGCGGGAGGATTTGACGATGACCTCAATGACGATGATAATGACGTCATTGAAGACATCCCAGATAGTGGCCCTTCTATTGTGGTCAGAGGTATCTAGGTAGATCATTCAGAACAGGAAGATTGGTTGCGCACTGCAGCTCTTATAGTAATTTTGATGTGTGTTGCGGAATCGGACCTCCGGTGGGGTTCAGCCACTTTTGTAGGTGCCATTTACACCAAGTTAGGTGCTTGATAATCACGGGCTACTTAGAAGGGTTGATTCACATGCACGACTCTACCGTACTGACATTGACATTCCGTATTGGATCGAGTTGTCCCACTTTCCAATGAAGCGCAAATGACGTAATTCTATTTGATCACGCTTTGCGGCCTTTAATAGTTCATTTACTGGATGTGGCGACGGTGGAATGATCCAGGATAGTCAAGGCAAGAGGAAAATACCAATGGCATCCACAGCAATCGACTCTGCAATATTCCGCGACATCTTCAGCTCGGAGGCGATGCGCCGGGTCTTCACGGACGAGCACCGTTTGCAATGTTACCTTGATATTGAGGCGGCACTGGCGCAAGTGCAGGCCAAAATTGGTCTCATTCCCCAACACGCTGCCAATGAGATCGCAGCCAAGTGCACACTCGACAGTAATGATATGGCGAAGCTGAAGATCCAAACGGAGTTGATCGGCTATCCCGTCCTGCCAGTAGTCCAGCAGCTGGTAGATGTCTGCTCGGATGGTTTTGGGGAATATTGTCATTGGGAGCGACCACCCAGGATATCACCGATACGGCCACCATCATGCAGATCCGAGAGGCACTCGCTCTAGTCGAGCAGGACCTGAAAGCAATAGTCGATTCTCTGGCTGGCCTCGCTCGCCGTTACCGCGATACGCTAATGGCAGGGCGTAGCAACCTACAGTAGGCGAGTTTGGCGGTGCTGCTGGTACGCTCGCTTCGCTGGGCGACGCTGGACTCAGAGTTCAAGAAGGGCTAATGGCGGAACTCGGATTGGGCCAACCAGAAATTGCCTGGCACACCGCACGCGACCGCATTGCAGAGGTCGGCTGCTTCTTGGGACTGGTTACCGGGACTCTGGGCAAGATTGCGACAGATATGAAGCTGCTAATGCAAACCGAGGTCTGTAAGGCCTTCGAGCCCTACACTAAAGATCGCGGCTCCAGCAGCACCATGCCGCAGAAGCGTAATCCGATATCCTGCAACTACATCCACGCCTGCACGGTTATGGTACGCCAACTGGTGGCGGCCCTTCTGGACGCCATGGTCGAGGATCACGAGCGCTCCACCGGCCCCTGGGAATCTGAATGGATTGCCGTGCCCGAGATCTTCTTGTTGAGCTCTGGTTCCTTGCAGCAGGCACAGGCGCTCCTCACGGGCCTGGAGGTGGACACCACACGCATGCGTTCCAATTTGGACATCACCAATGGTCTAATCTGTGCTGAAGCCGTGATGATGGGACTGGCACCTCATCTCGACCGGCAGCGAGCCCATAACCTGGTATATAAAATCAGCCGACGAGCCATCGTCAGCGGACGGCCATTGCTCGATCTGTTGATGGAGACACAGGAGATTTCTTCTGTCCTGGACCGAGCCGTTCCGGAAAAGCTGCTCGATCCTGCCAGATACCTTGGTCTATCTGGCGAAATGATCGATCGAGTCCTGGGATCATACTAATGGAACCGGGCCATGCCGAGTTTCAGCGGCTTCTGCGGCGAGGCAGTAAGTCAAACGAATTGGTCGGCCCCTGAAATCCCACTCGGGAACAAAACAAGGGACTGAAAGAGAGCTGATCCCAGACATCTTCTTGTCTCGTTAGGAACGTGGTCCATGGGATGATTCGTCGAGGATAGATTCAGCCAGTCGGATTCGTCATGTCCTGTCGCCTTTCCGTCCTGATACCAACTGGAATACGTAAGGTCCCTGTTTTATCTAGTTAGTAGCGAGCTTGGATTCCGCAACTCCCAGCGTGATGTCGTGGAAAGCGCGGTCCAGAAGCTGGTGGACGAGACGTATAACGATCTGTCGCTAAGGAGTCGTCTCAGCCTTCACGGAATGATAACATTCGAGAGCCACATGAATCTTGGTAACGCCGATGAGTCACTTTCTGAGTCCATAGAGCAAATGTCTATAGGCACCGACGGCAGTGGAGCAACAACGACGCAACTCCCCAGACCCCCCAACCGAGCCGCTCACCGTCGAAAGGCGCGGGGGAAGGGCAATCGAGCGGATCAGTTCTGCATTTACTGTACCTCTGACGATCGAAATATTCCAACGGTTGCGATCGAGTATAAGCCACCACACAAGTTGAGTCGGGACGAAGTTATCACAGGGTTGGTATCAGAGATCGAACCAGATCGCGATGTAATCAACCAGGATGGTGAGGGATTTGCATTCGCGGCGAAACGGCTTACCGCCGCTGTCGTGACCCAGCTCTTCTATGGTGGGTAAGGGGATCCAATATGGTTACGTATGCACAGGGGAGACGTATGTTTTCCTCCACATTCCGGAAGTTCCTTCCTGCGTCTATTATTCCGTCTGCGTACCGAGCTTGGATTGACCACCCTGCCCCGCCACCAGCTTGACCCAAATATTCTTGTCCTATCGAGTCCTCTGTAGGGGACTAGACCTGGTGGCATCGCTCAGACATCACGACATAGTCTAGGCCCGAGCTCTCGAAAGCCGTTGCGTAGATAGAAGTTTAGTGTGCGGCTCCATTTTGGTTGACTTGGTGTCCCAACTTCCAGGCGCTTCCATCCTCGCAGCCGAGCGTGTGATAGCGCAAGTTCAATAAGGTGGGGTGCCACGCTCTGCGACCTCATGTGCGGGCAGACGTATAATTCCGAGATCTCGCCGAACTTGCCGCCCGCGTAGATGGCAGTGCACTCGTTCAGGGTTATGACGCCGACTGGCTGGTCGTCGGCGTAGGCAATTGCTGCAGTCACACCCGGATCGCCAATTACCGTCGCCGCGGTGCGAGCGAGCGTCTCGACGTCGGGACCACCTCCGCCCCAGAGCTCATCGAGGAGGCCATGAACAAGGGTGGCAATTGTACTGGCATCTGTCGCTCCAGCGACGCGAGTAGAGATTTTGGGCATGCTGTTCATCTGTTGAGTTACACAATGTACGGCGGTTATCCAAGGAGTCTTTCCAAGATAAGGATGCGCTGGGGTAATGACGACGTCTTGGCGTTCATGCTTGAAGGTGAGTTTGCGGGCAGTCTCCATCTTATACTCACGGCCATTGCGACTGCAGTTTGTGGGGTCCACGAAGGATTGCCGTAGTGCAGCGGTACTACGACCGTTAGTTAAGTGCAGCCGCGAGGACAGAGGCATCTTGGCTCAGCAGTGGATATGTCGGTCGGCGAGAAAATCTTCCCGTCTTATGCGTTGAGAGTTCCTTCATGCAAAGATGCGTCAGTGGACACGTCACTGCTGGATCGGCTGCCCGGCCGTCGTTTCATCGTCGCTGGTCGCAGGACGAAAATGGACCCACGGGAGAGCAACGTCAGCGCGGAGGATTCCAGCTGAATCTCAACAACTGGTGGTCTCTTCATCTCGAAGTCGTTCCAGCCACCATCAAACATGGCTCCGAACACTACCTACGAAAACACGGCCATAACGGCCCCACGAACTCCGCCTAATGCACGTCCATCCGGGCAACGAAACCGATCCCGTCCACCTATCTCTTGTGACCACTGCCCTAGACGCCACCCCCGACTTCGAGTTTATCTCGTACTGCTGGGGCAATGCGCAGGACCAGCGTCAAGTGACATGCAACAGCACCACCCTCTCCATCACCAGCAGTCTCTTCACCGGGCTCGTGCACTTCCGCCATTCGGATCAGCCCCGCGTCCTCTGGGCCGACGCCGTCCGCATCAACCAGGCCGACGCGGCCGAGAAGAGCGACCAGGCGCTGCTGATGCCGGACATCTACTCGCAGGCGATGTGCGTGCTGGTCTGGCTCGGCATCGCCGACGACCCCGTGTACGGGTCCGTGCCGCCCGGCGTGGCCGCCTCGATCCGGCAGGCGCTCCAGCTGCTTCCCGACTTCGACCCTGAGAACGCGGCCGAGATGGCGGCCACGTCGCAGGCCCTGCGCCGCGACTCGCTGCGGCTACGGGAAGAGGGCAAGCCAAACGTCCTGGACCATGACTGGATGCCGCTGGCACGGCCGTGGTTCCGCCGAAAGTGGGTGGTGCAAGAGGTCTCGCTCGCCAGACAGGCTGTGTTTCGGCAATTCTCGATAGCGATGCTAGTGGAAGGCCGAAGCCTGAAATTGCTTAGCCTGGCTCCTGACAGGTCCCTATTCTCTACCCCGGACGCCCAACGACTCGAAGGGCTCCCATCGTGGTGAGAGCGGAGGAAGAAGCGTCTCGCCCGGTGGCTTGAGGGCCGCTATCATGTCGCGTTCGGCCACGGCCGTAGTTCCGAGGAGCTTGCCGCTCCCGTCGCGGAGTTGACGATGGCCTTCTCGCGCACAATGCTGTGCGGCATAGATCTTATGCGCAACCGCCTCTCTCCAGAGCTGAGAGCCGCGTTCCACACTACATACGATGGGCGATCGACCGCGCGGCAAACAAGGATGACGAGATGAGACAGCATCCGGCCATCATACCGAGTTATTCAACGACGATTGACGAAACTATAATGGCCTTGACGACGGTGCTAAAATTTTGTGTCACCGAAAATGGCCGCTTCGGACACGTCACACGTTCGTATGATCGATATCATGAGCGCTCAGCAGCGTCTTATTGCCACCCTGCCTGCTTCTAAGCAAGTCTTGAAAGAGTCATTCATCGATGGAGACGAATTGGCAACTTAAATTCTTCCTGGTATTCGGCAAGCAGAAGACGCGGATGCCTCCGACGAAGCATCGGACACAAGAAAGAGGCGAATAGAAGGTGAAAAGCGACAAGCAGGTACGAGAGCCCTTTCATCTACCGTGATAAATCTAATATATTTAGCAGTAAAGCGTTTGAAAGAAAGGCCCTTCAGAGACTCGCTACCTACACCATGGAAGGCGGGCTCCTTTGTCGAAGGGCCGTTGAAAATCATGCGGGAAGAGAGGCTTGTTCGAGAGGAGAAGTACAAGATTTCCTTTGACACCTCTTTACACTCAATCAATCGCATTAAGTCCTCAATGTACAGCAAGGGATGGGATTTGAAGTATACCACTGTCAGCAACTCTGATGATCCTATCGTCAAGGTTTGCGTTAAGGTTCCGTCGGAGTTCGGACATAGCTTTCCACATATTCTAGAAGACTTGAAAGAGATCCTTGCAATAGAGATAGGAATGGATTTGTAGGATGATACAGACAAATAGAGTACTTTTGTGAGGATGCCTTGGCATATTTTGTCTAACAAGCTGACCAGGTTGCCCTACTTAACTCATCCTGCTCGATCGCTGGATCCCCTCCCCCCATGTGTGTTTGACATATTGTCTAGAGCTGGTATCACTCGCTGCACCTCCACAAGTATAGGCAAGGCAGACTTAAGAACCAGGAATTATGCCTCAGCACGCCAGTCAGATCGCGTCATGGAGAGGCTGAGGAGAACATCAGTACGATCATGCTAAGCGAGGGGTGGCAGCCAGAAGAGTCAAGGGACATGGGCCTCGTTATCACTCGCGTCGATGGCTCAGCCATCGAGACCACCTCTTCACCAACCAAGTAACTCGAGGAATTGCGTCGAAAGCCGAAGAAGAAAGTGTGGTACACTGCCCCGAGAACTCTACGACGTTGGTTTGATCCGCCCATACACGAGGCACATTTTGAGGAGGAGTCCGTCTCAGGATGCGCCGGTTGGGGTCTATCTCTTCCCTTCCCGAAAATCCGTCGTAGCCCATACAATGCGCTGTCTGTCTATCCAGCTCTACTCACACCCCCGCCAAGCTCACGACTCTTCACACGGCACCTGCACGGTGGTGTGCGTCCAACCCCCTTCGACCGCCTGGATGATGGACAGAGCACCTCCTTTCACGCACCCGGAGTCGAGGCCGAAGGTGTAGGAATCCTCCTTGTAGCCGCACTTGGAGTCGTGGCCGTAGACGATGGTGCGGCGATGGGACTTGGGGACGCGCTTCTGCTCGCGGTTCCAGAGGTCGGTCCACTCGTCGCCGTCGTGGCTGTCGATGGGGATCCAGACGTCGTGGTCGGGTATGGTTTTCTCGATGACAATGTCTTCGGTGGCGGCGTCAGGCTCGGCCTCGTCGCGACGGGAGTTCTTGTTCTTTTCTTCCTCTTCTTGCTTCTTTCGCTCCTCTTCCTTCTTCTTCTCTACTTCCTTTCTGCGGAAATCCTCGGTAGGGTAGGTGAGCGTTCGCATGTTCATTACGGCCCAGGGGACTTGCCGCTCAAGTTCGATCCCCGGGACAAGCCCTGCGTGGACAATGTACAGGTTGAGCGGGTCAACGGTGAGGATGACGGGTAGGCTCTTGAGCCAGTCCAGCTGCTCTGACGAAAGGCTCCGTGCTGTTTTCAGATCGCTGGACTCGCCTCCAGGCACCTCTGTGTCTTTCGTTGCCAAGTCGGCCGCGACACCTTCCATAGTATTATAGCCTGCCCACGCCAATAGCACGCGGTCTTCGTGGTTCCCGCGGACGGCGCTGGCGTTAAGGTCCATGAGGCGTTTGACGACGCCGGCAGAATCGGGACCCTTGTTGACCATGTCGCCTACTGACACGATGTGGTCTTTTGTGCTGTCGAACCCGGTCTCTTTGAGGAGGGTGTTGAGCGGGTCGATCATGCCGTGGACGTCTCCGATCACGATCATCCTCCTCTGATTCTCCGTGGTAGGGACATACTCGTCGGGAAGCGCGGCCAAGACGGTAATGCCCTTGAACGGTGGCCGGTTGTAGGAGCCGCTAGACATGGGGAGATCGGCCTTGGAGAGCTCGGCTTCGACGTCCTCGTAACTTGAGGAGACGGACTCGCGGTTGAAATCCATGGCCAATAGTCGTGTAGTGCAGAGGTAGACGCTCACGACAAAGAAGGCGGTGGAAGCGAAGACGACCAAGCGTCGTTGCGACTGGAAGATGGACATGGTCGTCATGGCGTCGTCAGAAGGTGCGTTGCCCTCTCGGGAAAACAGGATTCGGGTCGGAGGTGAGCTATCGCGACGCCGTCGGTGGATGAAGCTGCATCACCATGGGGAATTCAAGCGAGGTAGAGTCGTCGCTGAGGAGGAGTGCATTAAGAGAAAATGCAAGGCAAGCAGAAGTGGTGAATGGACAGGTCGGGGATCCGGGGAATAAAGGGCAGGTGCAGCGGACAGCGGCGACTTCGATTGGGGACGGCGGCGGCGCCATGACTTGAGTCCCTGGGACTTGGGAGCAGGTGCCAGGTGAGCACGGGACCAAATTCAGCTGCAAGGACGGCTCGGATTCATGCAAGGCCGGCAGCTCCATCGCAGCCGTGGAAATCTGATAGTTGCTGGCGACCGCGGAAGCAGAAGGGAGAGTACCTTTTTTTGCCATAACGATCTGGGGCAACACAACGTAAGAACGCTGAAGATCAATGCCATCATTGACTGGGAATTTGGCAGTTTTTGGCGTGAATGGTTCGAACGGCGTTTTTGGGAGAGACACGCGATGGGAGAAGTAGGAAGATGACGTGGGGAACGGTGCCGTAAGTGACTGGTGGACCACTGTGACGAAGTTTATAATGCCACATTTTGGGAGGTGCAACCAAGAATGAGGTCGACTGATACCAAAGAATACAGGCTAGCCAGAGTCCGAAAACGGGCCCTGATCATGTGAATATGCAAATCAGATCCCAAATGTTATTTCTGGTCAAGAAGCTGCTTTAAGCTCCTTTGCCTAAGCGTTTGGCAGTCCAGGCTTGAATATCGTTCACCCATTTGAGAATCAAGTATGTATTGGACAACTCTAGCTACCATTTTCTTTGGCCAACTTCTCGGCTGTATGTAGAACGAGCGAGCGAAATCTTGGCGACATGTGTAATTTGATAAATTACATGTGGGATGAGTGACAAGGACGCGTGCACGGGCCAATTTTGGTGTAATTTATCATACTATTGGCGATAATTGGTGCAGTACCCGTTGGCTCATGTGTGGAGCAAGCTCCAAGGCGAGCCAACTTGGCAAGCTAAGTTAGCCATAAAAACCTGGAACAGCATCAGTTTTAGCAGCAAAAGAGGGGTAAAAACGTTAGTGCAAGAAGTACCTATGACCTCATAGAAAGTCTTTCGCAGCTAAAATCGAAATCTTAAATTCCCTTCGGCTCTTCTTCGGTTAATAATGACGCACCAATTTACACACCAATCTGATATTGTTCCAGACTTTTGTGACTGTTCCAGATTTTTGTGGCCAACTTAACTTGCAAGTTGGTTCGCCATGGAGCTTGCTCCACATGAATCAACGGGTAGACAACTAAAGATATTCAACCTCCGCTATTCTCTAACACCCAAGGCGCGGAAGAGCCTCAGAGTCTTTGGTTCCTGATAGTAACAAAGCGCCACTCCGCGATTTCTCAGGTACTTGGTGACCATCTGATAAACGTCATCGCCCTCGGATGTGGACACCTTCACCTCAATCTCCATCAGGTGGTGCGACCGGGCTACAACATCGTCGAACACCGCCTTATATCCTTTGATCCTCAGCTTCCATTTCGTATTTAAGTACGGGCCAAATGCAACAATATCCTTCCAGTCAATACTCCGGTAATGCTCAGCGAAGCGGACTTGTTCATCACTCCAGAGGCTCGTCCCACGTATAGGGGATAGCTTTGCGCAGGTGTAGGAGGTCTTGTCGCCGTAACGATCCCAAACGCAGTCTGCTGTTTCTGGGACATTCGAAACTACCTTTGGGAAACGGACCTTGATCAAGGAGGTCTCTTGACCCTTCCTGGTTTTCGTCCGGAACATGAGCCCTTGCTGGGCATAAATGGGGCGGTCGGTGTCGTAGTAAGTAATCGGACTTTGCTTATGCGGACCGCGACCCTCTTCGTTAAGCTTCTGGAGCACGATCTGTGGGTTTGGTTCGCAGATCGACCATTGAAGGTGGATTTCATCTTTCATTTTCCCAAGGAGGGGAGCGCGAGCAGAATAACGAAAAGGAGTGCTTGACTTCTCATGGTTACCCTCACACTGGAATTCTCCAACGCGAACATGCGAAATAATGCGGAGAGGAGATGAGGAGAGGCATCGTGACGCCTTTTTTAGAGCCCCTCGACAACAGATGTAGATCTTTGATGAGGCGTCTCGACAAGCATGATGCCATTATGTCGTGAATTGTGGTACTGCTGAACTGCTATGCTACGAGTTCGGGCTGCGGAGCTTTCCAAGCATAGCAGTAAGTCACGCGACAGTTGTGCACCCTCCTTTGAGAACTTAGGTCTAAATGTTGCTACGGAGTACACCAAGATAGAGTTTTGGCATGGCCAACCATCGATGGGCGTGATGTCATCTAAGTTGGCCTTTTGGTCCCCATGCAACCTTTACAACTTTGGTATCTAAGTCTGTCGACATAGTGACAAGTCCCAGCAGCATTCGTCTTTTACCTAGATGGTATGGGAGTTTTGGCTCGCGGAGGCCAATTCATATCTCCACCCCTGGGAGCCAGCGCTGCTGGTCTTGGAGTTGAAGTTCCAGGAGAGAAAGTGATTCTAGAACCCTCCTATTGCAGCAATTGGACCTCCAGGTCCGCCAGGCTATTGGGGACCCCCCACCAACATCCACGTAGCAGCCCTATATGATTGCCTTTAAGATCTCCTGCGTGCATGGCTCCGCAACGAGCGTACCCAGCTGCTGGGATCCGTTGTGGCTAGCCATGGTCCAAACGCGGTTGGGGTCGCGTTTGTGTCATGGCTTGGCAGGTGTGGAGCTCGGTTTTGGTACCGGTACCGGCACTGTAAATACTTGAGGGATGCTCACTTGTCTGGTGACCACGCAGCACAAACCGAGGTATTAGGTGGGGTTACCATAATGCGCACTAACGTTAGAGCAGGTTCTGGTGAACGGCCAGGTTACCTTCGGGAAGCTTCGTCTTACTTCCTCCCAACAACCCCAAGAGCCGATGTGCAGAACACCAATAGCAGCTATGATCAACGCAAGAGAACTAACTAGCGGCAAGCCACTTTGCAAGGTATGAAACACCGGAACTTTCCACCCGGTAGGTGAAATTGGCTAGTCATGGGGTACGACGTTGGATCAGTGATAAAACGAAAAGGTTGCAGATCATATTAAAAAGGTGTAAGTTACATATCTGGGTGAGGAGCACAGCTCACTACATAGTATCCACATCCCGGTCTCAACAATCAGAACGGCTCTCCGTCTTCGCCGCCTCCTCCCCACATTTCCCCGGCACCGTAGGTCAGCGGAGGCAGTGATCCCGGTCCTAGGTCTCTCTACCCCGAACCCTTAAGACTAAATACTGTCTCTGTCCCGACCGGGAGGATCATCTCCAAAATTTCTCTCCCTGTGATAACAATGACATCTGGCTGATACCTAACAGCGGCGACGGTGCAAAGCCTAAAGGGCTTCCCTGCCATCGACGCTGATTAACCACCCGAACTCGTCAGTGCAACACCATGGCATCAACCGCAATACCGGCATATTTCGAGCTGAGCTGGGCCATCCTCAGCACCATCGGGCTCAACAACGTCCTTGTCGGCCTCATGGTCGCCGGCATCACGGGCGGGTTCTCGGTCGTCGTCCTCGTGCCGCTTGTCGTCTCCGCCGCGTGTGCGCTGGCCAACGGCTTGTGTTACTACGCCTTTTACGCTGCCTACCCCGCCGTCAACACGACTGTCGCTTCCGCGTTCGCGGATCTGGCTTGGCTGGTGAGTGCGACGCTGCGGTCCGGGTAAAGGGGAGCCGGCTTTGTTTCCCTCTCCCGTCCTTCCATCTTAATGCAACCCTGCTTCCGTTCCCGTCCTATCCTGTGCCAATCCAAACCGGCGATGTTGCAATTCGGCTAACGCAATGGCCTGCTCGGCCCGCTCCCCACAGATTCAAGAAGCTGGACTCTCCTTCTACAGCTACGCGATCCTGGCCCGTGTCCTCCGCGGCGTTGAGCGCACCATGTTCATGTCGCTCTTCTGGGCGGTGGTTCTCGTCATCACGGCCGTCCGCCTCGGCATCATGGTGGTCCGCGTGCGCTTCATCCTCGACGACAACCACTCCCCATCCCTGCAGCGGACCGTCGACCACCTGCACGTGGGATACTTCATGGCCATCGCGGTGGTCGAATGTGCGAGTGCCGTTTTCCTGCTGAGGACATTCCGCACGGCACGCCGCACGTCCGTCACGACCACGCTGGGGCGCGGCGAGCTGTTCCGCTACCTCATGCGCAGCACGGAGATCCGCCTCGCCACGCTGGCCCTCATTGGCGTCATGCGCGCTGTGACGTACTCGTTCCAGAACACGGCGCAGAGCGCAGAGGGGGTGGCGGGCCAGCTGGATCGGTTTGCGTACACGCTGGAGTGTCTGTTTCTCATCGTAATGTTGTAAGTTTTATTCCCCCCCTCCGGGCCCTTTTTTTTTCTTTTTTCTTTGGAAACACCAACACCAAGAATTACCACCCTATTGACCCCCCAATCAAACAGCATAGACATCCTCGCCTCGCGCCTCGTCTTCGCCCATGAAGCAGCACGGGAAGCCACAACATTGTCGGCGGCACGGGATCGCAAAGTCGCGGCGCTGCGGCGGTACACCACTCGGCGACAACGGCGAGGTCCAGGAAACTGCACCACTCAGCAACGCAGAAAGCCGTCAGCGACCACGACGACGACATCGACATGCTCTCCATGCGGAACGTCGAGCGGAGCGTCGAGGCCTCTGGCCGGGGGAAGCCGTCCAGCGACGGCGCCAGCTCCCAGGAATTCATCATCGACGGGGCCGCGGCCATTGCGGTCACGAAGACCGAGGTAGTTGGCGGCGATCATGCGCGGAAGGGTGCCGCCACTCCCGGTGATGGCATCAGCAAAACGATCGAGTTCGAGATGCACGAGTGGCGGGTATCGCCGGAACGGAGGTAGCACAATATGTACCGTAGCTTTGGATGCCTTAGGTTGTCAATGAAACCGTGTCCGGCCGGCTGGGCACGACCCAGACGTGACGTCAAGACTGCGCGGAGCTCGCGACCTTGACAGCAGCATCAAAGGGGCGACATCGGAAGAGGTGTTTGCGGCCTTTGAGAACCCGTCTCGGCCTTCATTGAACGATAACATTCGAAAGCCATACGAATCTCGGCCAGTAACTTGCCAAACATCAACCTTTCGGCTCGCCCTGGCATCTTCATGATGTCTCCCATGCGCTCCCCTGCTTCGATCTCATGTCCCCCTGGCTCTTGGGAAGAGACGGGCAGGAGCGTGGGGTTTGTAAAGTTATGGAGTGTTGCGACTGTCCAGTTTGGTTTGTGAGGTCTTGAGGTTTATTGTAGACTATGCATTTCTTCCCATAGACGTGGTATTGTGGATCCCATATCTATATCTGGTCCACCAGACTAGGGCCAGTTTTGGGACAGGGTCCTCGATTCAGACCCCTGCTCCCTGCTTTCTTTAAGGGGTCCCATCGTCTAATTTCTCTCCTCATTCTTTTCTCGCTCATCTCTGATGATGATCATTTAATCTATAGGCTATCAATATTACGATGGTTTTAGTCGCATATGGGTGTGGCATCATGTGCCTTGCCAGGGCTAGGCGGCCAGAGCTCAACGAAGACAACATCGCCCCTCGGATCATTAAATCCGTTGAAGAATACTCCCCTTCAATCAAGATGGCTAAATATATGCATTTCTCGAAACCGACCAAAATACATTCCTATCGATCCACGGCACCGTCTCCAGAGTCTATTGCAGCTATCGTGCTCCACCCTTCGCACAAATGGCACTCTATACACGAGAACTGGAAGAAAGAGTGGGCTGAGTCGTCGAAGAAATTGATGGAGACGCTGTGGGAGTTACCAAGATAACCGAGCAAGTTACGGAGATGCCGAGTGGAGTTGAAAGGAGGACAATGGCATGAGCACGCCGAGCAAGGGGTGATAGCATCACAAGCATCAAGGGCGGTAGGCTCACTTTGATCATTCAGGGGTCTACATAGCCATTCTCTTCTGCATCGGAGGGTGTCCATCGTCACATTGCTCTCGGGAAACGAGCAAATCTCCATATCCGACACTTCCTGCCTCATCCTCTTTGAGGGCGATGCGGTGACACAGGGGCTAATTATATCATGCTCGTCAGCACTCAGTTAACTCCATGACTAAAATCAAGTGTAGTCACACAATTTTCAGGGTTCTTACTCAGCATGAAACTGCACCATAACCTCCATACTCATCTTAACCTCTTGCGGCGTAAACTCCAATTCACCCTCGTTCCTCGTTCCTTGACTGCCACCGTAACTTCCTGATCCAGCAGGTCCTCCCACCATGCACTGTGCAACCTGCGCCTGCCCCTGCCCCTGCTGCGACATAAGTCCCATCTGCCGTTGCTGCGGATTGTGGTTCGTCATGTGCGCCATAACAGGCGGCAATCTCCCATCATCGCTCAGCACCACAGGCCTCAGATTCGTACAACCCAGCACCTCGCAATAATCCAGCGCTTTCTGCCGCGCATCCCTCGCTTCTTCCTTTCGCAACTGCGCACCATATGATTTCTCCGTCGTGGGTGTCAATATCCAAAGAATATTATTAACTTCTACGTGCGGCAGAGCGGAAAGCTTCGTTCCAAAGCTACCCACGGCTTTAAACTCCTTGAGGCGGATATCAAAGCCGATTCTAGCGTCGTATTGTCACGGTTTTTGGCCCCCATGGGGGCCGTAGGGGACGTGCGATGTAAAAGACAGGGAGGTCTTGGACCAGTGCGGGAGGGCAGAAGCTTGTTTGGCGTCAGGGGAATCGGCTTGCGGTGAGAGCTCGCGCAGGAGGGATTCGATGGTTTTGGCGGTCGAAATGACTTGCGACGAAACAGTGGCTTTATCGGTGCCTGAGCTGGCGACATGAACGTTGATCAGGGCGCGCTCGGCGGGGTGGGGGATCTCTGAGCGGCCGGTCACGTTGATGACGAAGGGGGTCATATCGAAGGAAACCGGGAATAACTGATTTATTGAAAAGGGAATAGGGATTTGGACGGGCTGGGTGTTGGTGACAATATGTGGTATATAAGGGCGGTAGCTCGCCTCCGCGTCTTGAGCAAGAGAATAGATACTCAATGGGAGAGCCCCGGGAATGATATACTCGTGTTCCATGGCGGTGGGAGTCATTGCTGCCTGAGCCTTAGTGCTTCGCCACTCCACGATTGGATAAAGACAGCGCCGTTCGCGTCGGGGGCCGGAGCCAACTTTTTGCGAGCCGATGCCCCCAAACCAGCGATGTCCCGCCCATGCTTCGGGGTCATAGGGGTAATAATCGCCTACCCGAGGATAACGTATCAGTATCACCTAACACCTTTCTGTATGGTCTGTATGGTTATATAGAATTAGGTTTAGGAGACCTTCGACTACTTTGAATGCTTCAGTCATAATTGAGCGTCAAAAATTGCTGGGCATATAAAGAGCTCGGGCCGGCCGAGGCGATGTTGGGTATATCCAAGTTGTCGCGATACGTGAGACCCGATTCTATTCCCAACCCAAGCAACCAACAAATAGTTCCATAGTCGTAGAACCAGACGAATCCATAATCCTAGCGACCGTGATTCGGAAGAGTAAGGCCCTCTTCGATGCTCAACTTGCGGGTTGTCGTCGTCATCCGCCGTTAAACGTGATCGCTCCCTCACATCATAAGCAACCTCATCCTATCCAAACCCCTACGGCCTTCTGCCAGTCGACGAAGGCGGTCCCTGAGGGCTCTGCTCTGGCGCCTTACCATCCCTCGCCTCCGCTTGCAATTCACTTTCAAAGATATCGACCGATAAACTCGCCTCCACGAAATCCTCAAGCTCCTCCGTCACGGTCTTGAGCTTCTCCTTCACCGCAATGGCACCCTTATGACCAACAATGTGTCGCGCTGGGGGGTTCTCATGCCCGCCAATAGCTGACAGGGCATGCACCGTCTCCATGACAAGCTTGTCTGCCGCGCCTGGGGGCAGCTTCGGATATCGATGCAAAATCTCGCCGGGAACAACATCTGGCTCAATGGCTGAGCTGGCGGGTGACATTGGTGAAGGTCCTGATTCAGGTGGAGACAGTGGGAAAGGAAGAGCCGTATCTGGGTGAGTGTTGAGGACGTTGGTGAGGATGTCGCGTATACTTGGCACTGACTCGGGCCCTTGATCGTAAGCGGGCATCTGAGGAGCAAAGGTGAGGCGATTCGTCAAGGATTGTATCTCCTTGTTCGGCTGCACTATGGTGACTTTGATGTTGAAGGGCGCAATCTCGTAGGCGAGGGAGTCGCAGAAGCCCTCAAGGGCCCAGGTGGCGGCTGTGTATATTGACATGCCAGGAGTGCCAATGTGACCGCCAGTGCTTGTGAGGACGATGATGTGTCCGGTATGCTGAGAACGGAGCTGGGGGAGGGCAGCTCTGATGAAGTTGACCTGGGAGAAGAAGATGGATTCGAACTGATCACGGACGAGGTTCTGGGTGAAAGGAGTCGTTGATAGCTCCTCTACCGTCCCAACCACAGCTTCAGTAGAAAGCTAGTTAGCAAAACTCATTGTCGTCTCAGGAGACGATATTATAGAGTGAGACATGTGACAGGGGTAAGCCTCGAGAGCCGCGGAGATTGAAAACACACCTTCGGATTTGCAGCACAGCAAAATATCAATACGGCCATAGACTTGAACAGCCTCAGCGACAGCGGCGCCGCAGCTCCCCATGACGATGCCATCATAGCGAATACCGCGGATGCGATCCTTCCAGCCCTCGCGGTCCTTTCGCGTGCTCTTGCACTCGTTGACAAGCTCCCGGAACTCGGCGCTGCGGTCTTCATGGTCGATCTCGTGGGGCGGTAAACAGGCGACGACGTAGTCGCCGTGAGCGAGCAGCGTCCGGATGAGGCGGACGGCAAGAGGCGACAGGGCTGAGGTGAGGAGCCATGATCGCGGCGAGTTGTGTGTGGCTGCGGAGGGGTTAAGGTCAGCGTCGGCTATGACGGCAGTACATGATTATAAATATCCTCCGAATGCCTCCCTCATTCAACTTTTTTTCTGCCCTGTGAAACAGTGCTGTCCTTCTTTCCCTTGCTGGTGAATCCTGCAAAATGTCCTCGGAAACTTGTCCGACCTCGGAGGGTAAAGTTGGCGGTAGCCGTATGAAGGTTGTTGATGGATGAATGGAGGTTAGAATAAAGAATTGCAGGAGGAATGTGGAGTCATGAGCTTCCATGGAAATTATGTCATTGGCAGCAACATCGCTCCTAATCCACAGGGATAAGAGTATGATAAGAGTAGAACAAAAGAAAATGGAGAAGGAATGGGTTAGGGCAATTGATTTGCTGTCAAAGGGTACCTGGAAAAGTGACAGCTGTAGAGCTGAAAAGCTGGCGAAGCAAGGATAACCAAGGATAAAAATCTAGGAAATCTGGGGGTGACCTACGAAAGGAGGGGTTCGGAATTGAGTGAGTGTGTCGCGGGGTGAAAACCGTTTGGTGCGACTCACCCGCTCCGGGCCCGACATTTCGGCCTCTGATGATCCGGTCGGATGCCGCCCAATTACAGAATTCCAACCAAGATTCTGCAGGTATAGCCAGATAATTTCTCAGGGCAATCGAATTCTCCTTCCAATCACTTCACAGAATGCTGGATTCAAGACGGCCGAAACCGGGTGTTGTAGGGTAATAGAGCAGGGTTCACCAGGCGCGGCCTGACAGAACTCGACCCTTCGAAATGCACCCTGGCACTGCCGGGGCTCAAAATTGATCCTTGCTTGAAAAAGGAGGGGGTCGAATCTCGACTCTGTTACGGTTCTGGCACGAGGTCCAGAAGAACGCTACCATGACGTCAGTATGCGCCGATCTTTGATCCCTTTGACTTTCTTTTTGGGGTATGCAGTGTTGTCTGCCTTCATTTCCTTGGGATACTGCAGAGAGTGATGTCATTCTGACTCCAAAATTCACCAACTATGACGGCATTTCCAAATCGGTGAAGAGGGGCATGATGGCCCTCATCGCTCTCTATTGCGAGGCTGGAAAGGCGCGCTTCCAAGCCAATTTAGCGGCTCCATTTTCGAGCCACACACGATCGTACGAGTTTCCCCCCACAGAATCGGTCCGAGCTATCCTATATACAGTATTTAACATGAAGATGGACAGGCAGCATCCCCTTTCTAGTTCCGGTCCCTACGATCCACATCCAACCATGATCGGGTCGGTTGGCTGGCAAGGGCGCCAGCCACATTCGTCCATTCTTGCCTCCGTCCACGCCCTACCCCCAGCATCCCCTCTGGTGTTGGCTGTACCCCAGGTTGACGACCGCTGCTCACAAGAGATGTACCTCTGCAACCTCTTCCCCGCAATCCCACCTCCACACCTGGCCCGCAGGCCGTCCCATGGCTCCTCATATTGCCTGAGCCTCTTATATATCGACGCAACCATCAGATGCGCCCTGGTTCGCTTTTGTAGTGCCAACACTACCCCAAGTACAGCCATGTCTCCCAACTCAGACCCCGACCAGAACCACACATCACGGATGGAGGAATGGCTTGGCGCCCACCCGCCACAGCATCTTTGAGAATCCAGAGGGAAATCAGCGCTTAGGCTTTCAAGGCCACAACCAGTTTTTATGGTCCAATGTAGATTGAATATATGCTTTACTGTTTAAAAAACATAATAAACAAGCAGTTTCACTTTTTTTCCATCTATACTACCGTCGCGACATGCTGTTGAAGTTGACAATCGGTGAGCATTACATTTCCTGTTATGGAATAGTCCAATTCAGGGTCGACCATTACATTTCCTCATGCAGTTAGTGGATCTAAACTGGCGAAGTTTAGCCGCAATGCTCTGTTGCCATGCACGGGCTTTTGCTTTTGATTAGAAAAGCCCCTATTGTCTCCTCACCTTATTACAAATGGGGCACTTTCATCATCAACCTTCGGTTCCTGAACGGCAATGTGAGTGCATTCCTTGATTCAGACAACACCACGACCGACGAGACACAACCCGGGAGACACGAATAATTTCTCGAAATCTCATTTTTGATCTTTATATCTTTTGGAATTCCTGGTAGCCGCTTGGCGGAGATTCAGGCCTTTGGCGGATGTCTGGTGCAGCGAACCCCGCTTCAGACGTCATCATGATGGAACGCGAACCGGACGTTCCGGACGAGGAACATCATCGTCCCCAGCGCAAACGAGCCAGAACGACGAGGGCATGGAATCGGAGCAACAAGAACGTGATATGGAATGGGAGGAGGAGGAGAGCAGTGAGGGGGTGCCCAGCAACAATCGAGCCAAGAAAAGGACCACGCCTAAGGCGGCCGACAGTGTGATCGAGGCGGTCCAGGACCTGAAGCAACTCCTGGAACAAGACTTCAATAAGAAAATGGAAATCATGAAGACAGAGTTCCAGCTCGAGTTCACCAAGCTTAGCGACCGAATAGCTGAAGAAGTCGCTAGGACCACGGCCCTGATGACACAGGAACTATCGCAGGTGCGAGAGCAGCTTACCCAGGTTTGCAGCGAGCTGGAGCGCACTCGACTACAGTTGGATACCGTGACCGAGGCTCATGCAGCACGATCGCCTAGCCAGACATATGCGGATGCTGCCAGAATGACGCCTGTTAGTATTACCACTCAAACTCTATCCACGATTCGATCGACAACCCCAGAACCGGTGTTCTGTACAGTAGACACATCCAGGGTGCCCAAGGATCATATCGGAGATACTACACCAGCAGTGCTTCGCAGGGCCATTGAACAGGAATTGCGAACGTCTAGCGACCAACCTAGTTGGCGATGTGTTGCCGTGACTAGAGATGGACAAAATACCAACCGCCTGAGGGTCATCGGTAGGAACGAGGAAGAACTGAAGAAAATCAAGACCATTATTGAGGTCAAGAAGGCTCCAGGTGCGAGAGTCCTTCGCGACCAACTGTACCCAGTCAAAGTTGACAATATAAACCGTACCGCCGTTCTCGACCAGGAAGGCAAGGTCCTTCCTGGAGCAATGGAAGCCAGGAGACTCCTACAGGAACGCTACTTTCTTGCAGCTGGTGAATCGGCATATACCAGCGCGTTTGAGCGGAGAACAGGACCGATACAATGCTATAACTGCCAGGAGCTCGGCCATAAGGCATTCTCGTGCAGCAAGAATCGGGTATGTGCAAGGTGCGCCGCCGAAGGCCATCATAGCGAGTGCCAGACGCAGGTACCTAAGTGTGTACCCTGTGGCGGACCGCACGAGTCGTTCAGCAGAAGCTGCCCGAAACTCTACCCTACTCGGCATGAGTAGGATGTTTCAGGTAATCCAACTGAATGTGAGAAAACAGGATACAGTACACGAAAGCCTAATGAATGACGAGCGACTCCAAAATTTTGCAGTTGTGGCAATTCAAGAACCACAGGCATGGAAAAGCGACGGTAAACTATTAACAGTCCCTATGGGGCACCCCCGATGGATCAAAATGGTCCCCATGATTTGGAGGGATGGCAGATGGGCAATCCGGAGCATGTTGTGGGTGAATAGGGACTTGGAGGCCGAGCAGCTACCAATACAGTCCCCGGACTTAGCAGCCACCATACGACTCCCGGACCGAACAATATTAGTCGTGTCAGTATATGTGCCGGGACGTAAGCCCCAGGCTCTTCGAAATATATGCCATACCCTGCACCAGGTGATCCTCGACCTTAGGGGTAGGACAGGGATGGTACTGGACGTCATACTTGCTGGAGATTTTAATCAACACGACCGGCTATGGGGAGGAGATGACGTGCCATTGGCAAGGCAAGGCGAGGCCGATCCGATCATCGACCTCATGAACGAACACAGTCTTTGCAGCCTCCTCCCGAGAGGCACGAAGACATGGCAAGGCCCCGACAAGGAAAGCACAATCGACCTGGTGCTGGCGACGGCGGAGGTGACGAACGAAATGGTGGAGTGCTCCATACACCCGACAGAACACGGATCGGACCACCGGGCAATCCAAACAACGTTCGATGTCGCGATGCCTGAACGGATTGTCACGGAAAGACTGTTGTTCAAGAACGCACCATGGACAGCAATCAGAACCAGGGTGGAGGACAATCTCCGAGAGCTTCCCTGGACCGTCGGCGTGCAGGAGCAGACAGATCAGTTTATGAGAGTCGTCCTCGAGGCGATCCACGAGCTGACGCCCCGAGCACAACCAGTATCGTACGCGAAGCGCTGGTGGACGAAGGATTTGACAAGACTTCGGCGGGTGTACACGTTCTAGCGAAATCAGGCTAGGGCACAGCGGCGAGCAGGTCAGGGGAGGCCCGACCTGGAAAGACGGGCCAAGGAAGCATCCAAGGAGTACCATGATGCCATCCGGAAACAGAAGAAACTGCATTGGGACGAGTTCCTAGCAGAAGATAGCCAAATATTTGAAACCTGGAAAGGACATCATGGACGATAGGGTGCCCCCTTTGAAGAGACAAGACGGCTCCACCACGGAAGATAGGGTGGAGCAGGCAGAGGAGCTGCTCAGCTCGTTCTTCCCGCCGTTGCCGGCCAGGATTGAAGATGAAGGCGACCGACCGCATCGGAGGGAAGTTCACATGCCAGACCTCACCATGGAGGAAGTTGAGGAAAAATTGCTAGCAGCGAAACCTTGGAAAGCGCCTGGAGACGATGGTCTGCCAGCAATAGTGTGGAAACAGCTTTGGCCAGTGGTTAGATACCGTGTCTTGCACCTCTTCGACACATCCCTCAGGGATGGTGCGGTACCCCACCAATGAAGGAGCGCGAAGATCATCCCGCTGAAGAAGCCAGACAAAGGAGACTACACAGTGGCTAAGGCCTGGAGACCGATATCGCTGCTATCAACACTGGGCAAGATACTCGAGGCAGTCATTGCAGAGCGGATATCCTATGTAGTGGAGAGCTATGGACTGCTACCCGCAAACCACTTCGGGGCAAGGAAGCGAAGGTCAGCTGAACAAGCACTGATACTGCTGCAGGAGCTGATCTACAAGGCATGGAGGGCTGGCAGGGTGCTCAGTCTGATCAGTTTCGACGTCAAAGGCGCCTACAACGGAGTGTTCAAAGAGTGACTACTAGAGAGGCTGAAGGCGAGAGGCATACCTGGTGGACTGGTGAGATGGATTGATGCCTTCTGCTCTGGGCGAACGGCCGCTGTGATGGTAAATGGGCACACGTCACAACTACGGGAGTTGCCACAGGCAGGTCTCCCGCAAGGGTCACCGCTGTCGCCGGTGTTGTTCCTGTTCTTTAATGCAGATCTGGTGCAGAGAAGAATCAACGCAAGAGGTGGTTCGATGGCATTCGTGGACGACTACTCGGCCTGGGTAGTGGGACCAACAGCAGAGGAGAACCGAGCCGGCATCCAATCAATTATAGACGAAGCACTGGGCTGGGAAAGTCGGAGCGGCGCGACGTTCGAAGGAGACAAAACGGCCATCGTGCATTTCACGCGAAACGCCGCGAGTACTAGCGACACACCGTTCATGATCAAAGGGGAAGCAGTCAAGCCCAAGGCGAGCGCCAAGATCCTGGGAGTGGTCATGGACGCGAAACTGCGGTACAAGGAACACATAGCTAGAGCTGCCGCAAAGGGGCTCTCGGCTGCTATGTGTTTGAGAAGACTGAAAATGCTGTCACCGCGGACGGCGAGACAACTGTTCGTAGCAACAGTAGCTCCCACCATGGACTATGCGTCCAGCGTGTGGGCGCACTCATGTGGCATTAGAGAAGCTGCTTGGCTGGACAAGGCACAGATGGTCGGAGCACAGGCGATCACGGGAGCTTTCCGGACCGTCGCAACGGCGGTGGCAGAGGCCGAAGCTAGCATCCAATCG